GAGTCTACGTTTTTATTATAATTACTGTGAAATCTGCCTGTTATGTTTTCGTCATTATTACAACAAACGCACACTTGCAACTGATAACACTGGCAATGATTTTAGATGTATTAGACTATTAAAAAAGAAATCATGCTTCAAATAAGTGGGGGTACGGCGTACCCCCGCGTCCAACGCCCACTACACCACTGACTGCAACTACAAAAAGCTAAGGTTTGTTTTCTCATCAGGAAATGCAGACCGGCTCAAACAAAAGATTTTTAAATCATCTTCCTCACGATCATTTCATGTATCATATGTTCGCCGAATTGACATGAAAGCACTAATAAATGTAGTTTCATCCACTTGAGTTTACAACTACAAAAAATAATCGATTTGTTTTTATATCACATCCGACGGGAGGAAATTCAGCAGCTCTCACTACCGATTTTTAATCCTAATTTAATCATCATCTTCACCACGATCATTTATGTTTATGTTCGCCGAATTGACATGAAAGCACTGACAAATATGAATATACTGTAGTCAACTTCATTAAAACGTTATTAACGTGCCTAAACTCAGTAATTCACAATTTCTACGCATGACAACACACTTTGTCCGTGTTTGGCTCTGTGAAGCGTTCCCGCATTGACGTCACTTCCGGCTTCCCCCAAAACCTCAAAATGAGTCGAAGGAATTTTCCCGCGATGTTCGAAATTATTGATATTTATCGGAACGGTATCGCTTTTTCTTTTTTAAACTGACGGTTCGAGATTACTAGTAGCCCACTATTTCATTGCACAACAGTTGTTGGGTTCGTGTCACAGGCTCTTTAAGTTATTTTATTTATTTTTGTCTGCTTCTGAGAAGCTAATGTATAAGTTATACAGTTATTTCTGCAAGGAAATTACAATACAATTACTGTTTAATCTTCACATCTTGTATTCATGTCTATAATTTTGATCACCAAATTATTGAAAAGTATCGATAAGAGTATCGAAAAATACCGATACCGATAAGCAGTACCGGTACCGGTATCGGTATCGATAAAATCCTAACGATACCCATCCCTATCATGGCTAATACCAAAAATGGGGATTGTAAGGGTTACACATTTTTTCTACTTGTAACAGGGATGTAACATAGGGGTTACAAAATGTGGTTCAGGAATGATTGCTAAAACTCAGTAATGAGTTAGCAACTTAGAATTTCCCTTTTGGTCAAATGTCAGAAATGGTAATATCCAGTGAACATCTTAAGTTTAAAACCACCAAGAAAACAAAGTGAAGCGCTGACATGTGCAAATAGGGACAACGTTCCTCAACATGCCCCCATCGGACAAGTTTCACTCTGCCAAAAGCTGGGGAAAAAATGCAGAGCGAGCATCAATCATGTAGGCGTGTGCTGATTCTGTGTGTGTGTGTGTGTGTGTGTGTGTACCTGTGAGTCACACATGCTGTCAGGTTTGTATCCTGGGGCAGCTCGGGGAGGGACTTGGATCCACGCTTTGCTGGGGATTTTGGATTTTCCAACCAGATTGAGAGGCACTGCGTTCTGTGGGATAACATTCAGCAGGAGTGTGGAAACCACCTACAAAAAAATTACACACAAGTCATGACACGATAGTAGTTATTTTGCAGGAAAAAATACAATAGCACAGAATGAAAGCTGAAAAAATGAACTTGAGTTTGCTGACAAATGATAGCTTTCATTAAGCACCCCCAAAAGTCGAAGGGTACTTAAAGATATGTTATGTCTCAAATCACCTACTTCTGTACTTACATGTGCTATTGCTATTTTGCAAGTGCATCGCAATGGCAATTATGGCAAAATGATCTATGAGTACCTGCATGGTGCACCACGTTTAAAAAGTTGAGTGTGGAACGCTGGACATTCCTGGCTACATAACTGTGAACACAGCACTATACAAAAAATTGTTTAAAGGTCCCATGTCATGCTTTTCCGGTTATTACTCGTCCCCTTGTGTGTAATGTAGCTTTTTCTGCATGTAAACGGTCTGAAAAGTCACAAACCATCAAAGTACACCCTGTAGCGAGTAAAACTCTAACAGAGAAAAAATACCTGTCTATGCTGCCCCAGAACGCCTCGTTGGAGATTTTTATTGTTCCATTTTTTTATTCCCGAGTATGTGAGTATCTCAATGAACTGAAAAAAGGTAACAAGTGCTTTACCTGCTTCCCTGTCCATAGCTGCTGTGGTTTTATAATGGCGGGTGGCAGCAATTTGACTCTGCCTGGTTTGTCAGTCAGTCCTCTGTATACCAGCTCTATGTACTGCACTCTCGTGAAGAAACAGCCACGTATCGTCATCCTCGTACCCGACACCATGTGGTCCTGGATCAGACCTGCTAAAGGTGTACCGTCCTGAGGAGAGACAGAGAGAGACCTCAGTGCTGACCTATTTGTTTTTGCCCAGCCTTTAGACTACCACACAGGTAAATCTTAGCAAAGCCTTGTTTATGCCTTGCTTCAATATTTAACATAAATTGTGTATGCTTTTGAAGATTCTTTCTTTCTTGCAACTGCAGATTATTTGCACTATTTCATTAACTTCACATCTGTGTTTGTGTGTAGTGCATTTGTATCCCCAGTGGACATGATGAAGCACCGTGGGGCCCATGAACTACAGCTTCACTGTGGCAGACATTTTGGCCAGTGGCATCCACAGAGGAAGCACTGAATTTGACAAGGCTGCAATTTTAAAAAAAAACTTTATAACCGTATAAAAGTTCCTGTATGTCAGATAGAAACTGTGTAAAAGAACACAATCAGATGTTTTAAGTTATTGATGCTATAGTTTAGGAGTGTGAAAGGCTGTGATTTTTTATTATTATGATTGACTGTGATTTTAATGTTCAATATGCTTGTGACTGGAGCAGAGTGAAAGAGTTTTAGAGAGCAGACGGGCAAAATGTACTGAAACGAGGTGAAGAACCCATTTTAATCCTTAGTTGGGTGAAATCATGTGATACTCCAAGGAAATCCTCAACCTGAGTGTGTTCACCCACCTTGGGGACGAGGTACTGCTGATCGGTGCTGACCAGCGTGTAGGCCTCGGCTCGGGCCAGTTCGCTCTGAGGGAAGTGAGCGTTCATTTCGTCGCCGTCAAAGTCGGCGTTGTATGCTTTGCAGTTAGCGTAGTGAAGCCTCAGAACCTGAAGAAACAAATTAACACCAAGTATAATTTGTTATTTATCCTAAGTTTATTTCAAACACAGAAAAAGATAAAAGAAAGGGGCATAGATGAATTATACAATACCTTCTCTCCCGGTAAGATGCGAGCACAGTGGGCTTGTATGGAGGGTCTGTGCAGAGTGGGCTGTCGGTTCAGTAACATCACATCTCCGTTCTTAATGTGACGATTCACCTGGACAGATAAAACCCCATGATGGTCATTACAGGGCTTAGTTGAATACTCTATTCTGATTGGTCAATTTGGACATCCAGCAGTCTTCTCTTTTTTCGATGGCAGACCGCTGCCAGGGACGCTCTGATCAAGAGACTTCAAATAAAGTCTCGGAAAGAAGTCTCATCCATTTAACGTCAGTTTGGGCAAAAATGTTTGTTTTCCTCAAGAAAATCGAAGAGAGCGCCATGGAATACGTTTTAATAATCATTTTTATATGTGTGAAGGGCACGAAACCTTGGATTTATGATGGCTAAACTGTTCCCAATAAAGAAATAAAGGGAAAAGAACAGAGCACAAGAGAAAACAGCAGAAGAAAACACTAACAGGAACACAGTATGGGCGCTGGCAGTGTTTAAAGACTGGCCAATGGAAATACTTTCTTTCTTGCAACTGCAGAGTATTCGCACTCTTTCAATTAACTTCACGTCTGTGTCTGTGTGTAGTACATATTTATTCCCAGTGGACATGATGAAGCACCGTGGGGCCCATGAACTACAGCTTCACTGTGGCAGCCATTTTGGCCAGTGGCATCCACAGAGGAGGAAGCACTGAATTTGACAAGGCTGCACTCTTTTTTTAAATACTTTTTAACTTTATATCAGTGCCTCATACAATATGTATGTCAGATAAAAAGTGTGTAAAAGAACACAATGAGATGTTTTAAGTTATTCATGTAATAGTTTAGGACTGTCGTAGGCTGTGATTTTTTATTATTATGATTGACTGTGATTTTAATGTTCAAAATGCTTGGAAAAAAGGGAAAAGAACAGAGCACGAGCAGGAGGTAAACACTAACAGGTACACGGTATGGGCTCTGGCAGTGTTAAAAGACTGGCCAATGGAAAGAATAAGTGAACAGACTTGAAAAGTAAATCAGGCAGGCAGAGAACCTCGATCAGTGTGATCTATGTGATTGAGTTACGTTGCTGTCGCCATAGTTTCAGCCGTTGGTACGCAGTAGAACAGACTATCTTAGAAAGACTGTCTTAGTGGAAACAATAGGATCATTTTAAATTAGGGCTGCACGATATTGGAAAAAACTAACATTGCAATTTTTTTCCCCTGCGATATATATTGCTAGACTCTACAGAAAAACGCGATTATGCGATCGCATAATTTACCGCATAATCAGCAAAATGGCACAGATTTTTAAAAGGGCGCATTTTTATTAAAAGGGCGCATTATCC